TTTTTAATAAAGTTATCATTAAAGTGAAACTTAACATGAAGTTCATGAAAAACAGGACTGAGGAACAGATTGAAATGGGGACTAAAGAGACATGACAACAATTGTGTGACCTTGGGCTAGATGCTGGACCTTTAAAGGACATTACAAGAATAGTTGGAAAAACTTGAATGGGATCTTTTGATTACACAGTACTTTTCCTAATTTTTGAGGGTTGTATGATGACTTATAGAAGAATGTTTTCATTTTAAGAAATACTAATTGAATGTTAAGGAGTAATAAGCCATCACATCTCTTAAAAGGTCTCAAATGGTTCTGAAAAAATGTATGTATTTAAAAAAGGGACAAAAACAGAAAATAGGCAAAATGTGTTATACGTTATAATTGAAGAGTATACAGGTTTTTTTAATTAGCTTATGTTTAAGTTTTCTGTAAGTTTTAACTATTCTATTAAAATCTTTAAAACTCCCATCCAAGTACTAACCAGGCCCAACCTTGCTTAGCTTCTTAGATCAGATGAGATCAGGCACTTTCAGGATGGTAGAAAAAAAAAATGAGAGAGAAAAAAAAATAAAAATAAGAGAGAGAAGCAAATATAATAAAGAACAACAAATAAATATAAACTAGAGAAATGGTATAGGGTGAAAAGGGAATGGGATAAAAACTGGGGTGGGAAGAAGGCACCAGACTATGGTGATGGCCCATGGGTGAATCAGTGGTGGAAAGCCCATAAGGATTACAACTGAGATGAGAAAATGTTCAAAATGAAGAATGATGTAAAAAAAAGATACTATCCTAAGTGATAAAATCTTAAAAAAAAAATTTAATTTTGTGGCATTTAATAGCTTTAAAATGTTTGAGTCCTGTTACTGAAAAGGCTTATAAACTGTGCCATATAAAATAGGAATGAACACACATGGAGTTAATAATAAATGCCTGTAAATGAAATACTTGTACTTCTGACGCTACAGACCACTTTGGATTCTCTATCAGATTAGCTCTTCTTTGCCTGAGAAGTGCTGAGTCACACCAAGTCTTTTACTTCAGAGACACAAACCCTGACCCTGCACATTGGGAGGTACAGAGTTTGCTTCATCACACAAGTCCTGTCTGGCCAGGGAGCCTTCAGAAGGTAATCATACTAAGTAATAGGACAGAATACATGTTTGTTTAGGGCAGATGCTCTGTGTAGTCGCTAGAAAGAGTCTTTCATGAATTTGAAAGTCCAGTTTGGTTACCTTTTTCTTTCTCCAGGTAAAAGTCATCATGACAGTCAGATCCTGGCTATGGAGCTGGAGTGGTCAGTTCCTAGTGGAACTGATCCCTGATAGAGCTCCTATTTGACTGAGTGCCAAGATATTCCCTGCTAAGGAAACTGGCTTCATTTAAGACTGACTTGTAGGATTAATTATGTTCTGGAAGCTATTAATTTATAAATTAATCCAGGATCATTGTCTATGTATCAGCATGACCACAGCCAATCCCAGAATCCCACTAAAGAATAGAGCAGAAAGTACAGCCATTGACATGAGTTTGCCTGAAAATGTCACAGAACCTCAGCCTGGTTCACTAAAACTGGCCTATTCAATTTCTGTAACTGTAGGAAAGACAGAAATTCCTCAGTTTGGTCTGTGTGCAGAATCTCTTCACTTATTCAAACCCCTTTTAATATCAGAGCATAGTAACGACAGGCAGCAGAAGCACAGTCAAAACACATAAATATGTAAGAGTTTGATGAATTTTTTAGCTCGCTGTTGACCATCTTACTACCTAGCACCCTTCTGACCAATGGAATTCCACTTTACTTTTAAGATTCCCATTTATTAAATCCTCTGAATGCCTTGCATAATTCTGAAGGTAGGAGTTGGGGGTGAATGACTACTCTAGATTAAAAAACCTGCAGCCAGGAGGGCGAAAGCCATCAGCAGCTCCACTAGAAACATTACTATATCAACCACAGACAATGGTGGCCATATAATAGTCTAGAGAAATAAAGGAGACATGGGCATCTCATATCAGATCTGCCTGTCCTATGACCATCCTCACTGAAGATTGTAGTGCCATAGCAAGGCCAGCCAGAATTAGAGAGCTGCTCTTGACAGCTGTTTCCAGCAGGGTTGATGGTGCTAGATTCCTCTCCAATCAGAGCTAAGGGAAACCCTGACTATTATGTGCAAGGCTCCAGAGATTTAAAGCTTAATTCATATTAATGGAATCTTAATTGTACATCTATTCCTTCACTGGAAATCTGAAGCCTGGTCTAGTTAGGGTCTACAATGAACTCACTGTGATCTTGGCCATGTTATTTACTTCTTTGGACCTTGGTTTCCTCATTTGCTAATGAATAGAGGTAATCTCTGATGTTCTGTGAGCTTTCCAGAAGATGTCTCAAACTTCTTGGTTATAAAACAGGATTAATCAAAGCTGCAGGACTGTTGTACATATTTTATATATTCTACATATAGAAAGAGCAAAACAGTACCTTTGCCTTGGTGAAACCTGGTAGACACTTCCTTAGCTAAGAGATCAAGGTTAACATATTGTGT